AATTATTATAATTAAAATCCTGAAAAGCTTAATGGTAATTATACCGATCACATAATAATGTCTTCTTTGTAATTGTACGTTCAGTATTAACGACTAACGTGTCGTAAAGTAGAGCATGCACTACTGTATAAATCCTTACTACTCAGAAGCCTTGGCCTTGGCCTGCGAGTGCAATTCCAGATTTAACGGCTCTGCTCTAACTTGCTGTTAATACCTACCGATAAGTTTCACATTTCCAAAAATATACTCTTAGTTAAAGGTTAACAAAATATTCTGAATGATACTAGAGGAATAAATTGGTTATATCTTGCTCTTAAACTTAATATTACATTTAATTACGTTCACATTGAGTTTAATACACATCTATTCCTAATTTCGAATTAGGAAAATATTCCGATGAATTTTTAAAACTTAATTTCCGATATATAACTCGGAATCATATCAATAACGTATTCTAATCCTGGTACACTCACACTCACTTGCACAGTCACATGTTCATGAGGAAAACTTACAACACTCTATGATGTTACATTTAAAAATAAACTCTCAATCTCTAAACTTAAAGGTATGAAGTTCTCAAAACTTGGCATTATACTGCCACACAAAACATCAGCAACTCCTAAGCCTAAATTCAGGTCGTTCACTTTATCACTAAACAACCACAAGCTGCTATCAGTTATAATGATTATAACTTTGCAACTTTGTATAAAATACAACTGGCATGGCAGTTTACCATAGTCGGCTAGTCCTAATGTACTAATGGACAAAATTCTGTCCTACCCCTAAGATTCACCAAACAAACTGATACAAGATTTCTGTTTCTACTTTCTAGATGGGCAGAGTAATTTATTCAGACATAAATTAAATTGCATTAAAATATCCCGTGCCACTCGGAACATACTTGCCCGAAATTCACTTTGACTTATTCTTACACTTTCTCACAAAACATCTCTCACTCACACTTAGCATTTATTACACGGTCAGTAGTTTAAGTTCTCAAAACTTGGCATTCGACGGCAACAAAAAAAACTCTCCACAATAGCTTGCAAGCATATTCTCGGTTGTCAACTTAACAACCACACGCCGTTACACAATTCTCACAACAAAAGCGCCAAGTTCCGCTTGTCTTGGCTGTTAGCTTCGCAACCAAGGACAAAGCAAATATTCATGATCATGATCTGTACATAAACTATAAACTTCAAACAAAGCAATTTCAACATTGCTAATAGGTCCACCTCCATTAAAATCTAACCGTATCAACGTCAGTCTAATTTATGACGCATACATTATCACATTACTCTCAAAAGAGAACTACTGCTACGACCTAAAATGCATTCAAATTCACCAGCGTGTAAGTGCAATTCCTTACTTTGAATGGTACGATTTAATACTTCAATGCTCTTACTGAAATACTAGCATCAGTAACTAAGGCTTACTCAACTGAATAATTTTCTGTCTATTATGATATATTATACGATATCGCTATTCCATGAACGGCAGAACTTACTAACTCTCCATAAAATAACTCAAAGTTAAAGTCGTCGGTTCGGTCTTTGTGCAAAAAGAAAGTCAGTGCCCTCTCGTCGAGGGAGTCAGTCAATTGGTCGATCCTTATTTGTCATTTAATGTCATACAATCATCATTGCACAAAATATTGTCAGGTTAATGTTTCAATAGTTTCCAGAGTTATATCAAATTTCCATGGATGTTACCATGTGAAGCAGTTCTAGCCGTCATGTTTACAAGGCCAATATTATAGGTAAACTTATACTCTTATAGTAGGCTACAAGTCAATAGCAAGTTGTTATCATAAATAGCAGGACCCGCAAGTAATTCGAACCCATTCGTTTTCGGGATTTACACTAACAGCTGGCTATATTAGTATTATTCATAAATTTTTTAAAGCTGTAACAAGCCAACTCAATTTAATTGTTGGATCTTATCACTCACTATCAGACCGTCACAGCATGCGGTCACTCGAGAAACACCTATCGATATTTTTACTGCACATTTCACATACACTTACTGTGTACTTCACTTAAATTCACTGTGCATTTCAAATTTACCGTGCATTTCACTGTTCATTTCACTTACACCAGACACCTACTGTGTATTTCACACAAAATACTTGAAAAAATGACAAAAATGTGAGGTTGGACCATGTTATACGAAAAATTTTCAAGTGATAACCTTAGTTTTGTTCACTTACTAAGTAGACTGTTTCATTAGAATGTTGAACATTATGAAACTCGTAAACTTATTATAAAATTTTGTTAAAATTTTAGATAAATCTATTCATGATTTCGTAGCAAAAAAAAATAAGATTGACAATTTTTTGAAATTTCCAAAATTTTCTGCTCTCGTGTTGATTTTGATAAAAATTTTTGATATTTTTTCTCAAATAGGCTTTAAAATTTAAAAGGTTAAAAAATATACCTCTTTTTATCTCAACTCTTTCGTTTGTATCCAGTAGATTAAAGTAGAACTAGATTGTCCGAGTAATCAACCGTTTGTAGTCAGCTTATCCGTTCTCCACACCCCTCTGTCACTATTTTCCTATCGTAGGTTGATTTCGCCACTATAGATACCATGGATTGAGTTCCATTTTAAGTTTACAGGATCTTGGGGAAACATCGGATCTGGGTTACCTCCCAGCAAGGACTTGATATCTGGGTTACCTCCCAGCACGGACTTGATATCTGGGTTACCTCCCAGCAAGGACTTGATATCTGGGTTACCTCCCAGCAAGGACTTGATATCTGGGTTACCTCCCAGCAAGGACTTGATATCTGGGTTACCTCCCAGCAAGGACTTGATATCTGGGTTACCTCCCAGCAAGGACTTGATATCTGGGTTACCTCCCAGCAAGGACTTTATCTGGGTTACCTCCCAGCAAGGACTTTATCTGGGTTACCTCCCAGCAAGGACTTTATCTGGGTTACCTCCCAGCAAGGACTTTTATCTGGAACCAGGATCTCAGTTGTCCGTTGTTACTTTTTCTCCATCATTTATTCTGCAGTAAGGCGTAATTGTTGTAGCCTTCAGCAGCAAGATGTCCCAACGTCGGTCGTAATCCTCGTCGCCAATGTTAACGGGCTTCTTCTCTTGTATTGTTTTGGGAACAACGGAAAACAACGGTTTAGGAGAAGTGGTTTAAAATAAACTAAAAACTAAAACTTTTACGACACGAAACATCTGTATTTATATTACCTACCTTGCAGGTCTTATTAACTATTTTAACGTCACACTAAAGTTAGTGCGCGAGCTGACCGGTATTAAATGAGGCTTAGTCCACCTGCTATGGTCATGTGACCTAGGTCACATGACTTACAACCAATGGACGGCTACCTCACCTAGTGGTCGACCAATGGTAAAATTGCAGTATATTTTGCACAGCATCTCTTAGTCAGAGCGGTCACTTAAATGCATGGTTGAATGAACTGACCCTAATGGTCCTAGAAAGGTCACGATCAAGACACCTGTGTCCTGTTCCATATTATCTTAATCATAATTATGCAATCCTGTTACCTAACATATGTACAAATATTGTTCATAAACAATATTTGTGCATGATAAAAACTAAGAGTTTTTACTGCGGCAAGCAGATTTTAGATTATAAAATAAACTCATCTAAGATATCTTCAGCTAACCCTGCTAAGTATCCTCGAGTGTAGCCCATGTCTGCCATCTTGATCTATCATAGGTGATGATCTATATAAGTATATAGTGATCTATATATAATAGTGAACGTGGATACTGATAAATAAGTAGTCATATTTTATCATTATGCTATAATATAACACTACTGTCTTGAAAACTAAAATAGTACTAAGAATATATTTTATAAAACGTATGTAATATAAAGGTATAAAGGTTTTTCTGATGAGACTTTATAATAAAAAGTTCCTTTGTCTTTCTCTCTAATGCATTGACACTTGCTCTTCGAAATAGAGCGAGACATCGGAAGAAACACAAATTTTCGTCATACGGTGTACCTCGATAAGAAACAAGGCTATGATGATGAGTGGGGCGATTTTAGATAATTTTTCCGTTTATATGATGTGTGTTATTGCAATAGCAAGGCTCTTCTTATACTTTGTTATGTTTAGACATATTTTATTTTCCGTTGAAGGAGATTTGTAGTAATTTTGTGTTATGATTTTGGATTAGTCCAAAAAACAGATCTTACTAAAGGGTGTAATAAATAGTACATATTATGATAAACATATTTATATACATACAAATATTGTTCATAAACAATATTTGTGCATGATAAAAACTAAGAGTTTTTACTGCGGCAAGCACACATAACACGCGTGTGGGTCTCCGGTCTGTTGCCCCGATTCTTTCATTCTTTTCTTTTTCTCTTCTTCTCTTAGGTAAAACACTCCCATTGTCACCAATACCCCTAAAATCAAGCGTATTGCCGATATTACGACATTCCGTATTCTCTCGAGCTCCCACCTCATTATCACATATCTGGCAATGTTGATTGTTATTTCCACACAGGGATAAGCCAACACATATTTCCCTGCCCTCCGTCCTACCAGCAACTAGCAAGTTATTGCCCGTTTTTGATCTGATGTATGTAGTAGGAGTTCTTCACTAAGCTATAGATATTCACTAGATTATTACGGTCGCGTGATGGTTGCATATGTTATAACTGTTAATATTTGATACATACCTGTCGTGATTAGTTTCTTGACATAACGCTTATAGAATCCAGGTCGTGTTGGGTTTCTATCAGGTCTTTTCAAAGCAGCCACAATACAATGCAATAAAGGAATGATTTGTCATCTTTATTCCGTTTGTTCAACAGACATCTTCTCTTTTTCAACAGTTTGGGAGTTGGCAAGTAAGTCGACATTCTAGAATTTAAGAGAGTTTATATAATGTTATATAGAGTGTTATATATAACATGGATAATTACGTTCTTAAATCACGTCATAATTCAACTAAAATGCTATATGTCTTCTACATTTTAAATTTCAATCACTCTTGTTATTGATTTGTGGTTTTAAACTACTGAAAGTTCTTAAAGTTAATTGAAATTAGTAAGATATAAAACAACAATTTTCAACATTATAGTGATCCCTATATATAGACCCTAATCAATCACTCAATCAATCATCCTGATACAGGGTTGTACTTTATGACAAGCACTGTAACCATTTGCCATCGTCTCCATATCCAACCGCTACCTGTTGAGATTAATTGTAGTAATCTTTGTATCTGCAATTGTAACGTAACTCAACTTGGTTTGATTAGGGTCAGGGTAGTTGGAGGTTAATGAAATAAAAATTAGAAAACTTTACCAACCCATTCCTTGAAAAGACTCGTATGAATCCAAGATTTTGTTTCGAACTTCATTGATCATCTCATCCTTGTTTGATGATCTCAGACACACAGTTGCTCGTGTCTTGAAACCAAATGTCTGCTCTTCACCGTTTATATGTTTCTGTAAATGAAATATATCAACTTCTATTTATCTATATTTTTTTCCTTGTTAAACCACTCCTTTTGGATTTGAAAATTTCCTTATCACTATTTTAACAGATTGTTAGTAGCAAATCAAATACCTGAAATACCCCGTCCAAAGTGACATGGAACTTGAAACAGTTCCGTCGTTGCATGAAGCGCTCTATTATCATGTCAACACCCCCCAAGAGCACCTCCAACCCTTCTTCAAGGGTTCCGTTGAACTGTGTTTCAGGGGCTCTAAGCTTAAATTCAATGACAGAGTCATTCAAGGCTCGTGTTACATTAAAAGTCAGTTCGCTCATGCTAATAGTTTTGTGATAAGAGGTCTGTTTTTAAGCCTTTATATAGTACTAAGTATTTTATAACCGATCCGCCGTATTTAGTAACCTCTGCATTGGAAAATAAAAATATAAGTCAAAAAGTAGGGTAAAATAAAATGCAGAGAACGGGGTCACCTCGTGAAGGATGTGGCTATTCACCACCTACGGACGGTCTTTTTTCTGTGAAAACTGGTTCATATTACAGAACCTTGACGCAAATTCACCCCCTGCAGCTGATCAAAGTTTTAAATGATAAGAATATTTAAAAAATAAAGTAACGACCAGCTGAGGAGGGCAAATTTTCCCCAAAATAAAAAAGAAAAAAAGTATGGTTAACCATTTTAAAAATAGATAGCAAGAAAAGATAGTAGCAAAATGTGTAATAAGATAATATTTAAAATTAAAATAGAATAACAAGTAAATTCAAACAGTAGTATAACTAGAAAAAAAAGTAAACGAAGAGAGTGCTCTCCAATTATATTAAATATAGTGGGAATTCCCACCTAATTTAATCCTTTTATTTTTCAGTACTAGTGGTTTCATTATTATAATTATCAGTGATGATAATAACATTGAAGCAGTATGAATTGCAAACAGTCATTTTTCAATTTTTGGAATTAGAGAGAATACTCTCTTATTTTGTTATAGTTAGCGGGAATCCCCGCCTTGCTGGAACCCTTTGCTTACAAGCGATCTTACCATTATCTCACACAAACAATGCCCAGCCGTATCGTGAGATAGTCAGATTTGTAGCCTTAAACTACAATCCGGTCCGCATCCATTGGGGGCATTGGAAACACAAACTCGATAGAGCGGATGGGACCGTCTGCTTGTAAATTGCAATAAGATGATGATTGCCTGTTTGCTCTTCATAGCTTCGTATCATTCTTCATTTTATTCATATCTTTATAATTTTTCATTCTTCACTTTCTACTTTTAATAGTATTTCTCACTTTTAATTTGTATACAGTTTACATTTATTATAAATGTATTATTATCTTTATTATCTTTCAGATTCTTATTTTTATATCTGTATTAAATATAATTCGACTCATACCGCACAGCGTGATAGGCAAGCTACCAGTGTTTTAGCAGAGCTTTCTCGTAACTTTCAGATTCTTATTTTTATATCTGTATTAAAATATAATTCGACTCATACCGCACAGCGTGATAGGCAAGCTACCAGTGATTTAGCAGAGCTTTCTCATAACTTTCAAATTCTTATTTTTATATCTGTATTAAATATAATTCGACTCATACCGCACCGCGTGATAGTCAAGCTATCAGTGATTTAGCAGAGCTTTCTCATAACTTTCAGATTCTTATTTTTATATCTGTATTAAATATAATTCGACTCATACCGCACAGCGTGATAGTCAGACTACCAGTGATTTAGCAGAGCTTTCGATTATCTTTCAGATTCTTATTTTTATATCTGTATATTAAATATAATTCGACTCATACCACACAGCGTGATAGGCAAGCTACCAGTGATTTAGCAGAGCTTTCTCATAACTTTCAGATTCTTATTTTTATATCTGTATTAAATATAATTCGACTCATACTGCACAGCGTGATAGTCAGACTACCAGTGATTTAGCAGAGCTTTCGAATATCTTTCAGATTCTTTATTTTTATATCTTTATTAAAATATAATTCGACTCATACCGCACAGCGTGATAGGCAAGCTACCAGTGATTTAGCAGAGCTTTCTCATAACTTTCAGATTCTTATTTTTATATCTGTATTAAATATAATTCGACTCATACCGCACAGCGTGATAGTCAGACTACCAGTGATTTAGCAGAGCTTTCGAATATCTTTCAGATTCTTTATTTTTATATCTTTATTAAAATATAATTCGACTCATACCGCACAGCGTGATAGGCAAGCTACCAGTGATTTAACAGAGCTTTCTCATAACTTTCAGATTCTTATTTTTATATCTGTATTAAATATAATTCGACTCATACTGCACAGCGTGATAGGCAAGCTACCAGTGATTTAGCAGAGCTTTCTCATAACTTTCAGATTCTTATTTTTATATCTGTATTAAATATAATTCGACTCATACCGCACAGCGTGATAGTCAAGCTACCAGTGATTTAGCAGAGCTTTCTCATAACTTTCAGATTCTTATTTTTATATCTGTATTAAATATAATTCGACTCATACCGCACAGCGTGATAGTCAGACTACCAGTGATTTAGCAGAGCTTTCGAATATCTTTCAGATTCTTATTTTTATATCTTTATTAAAATATAATTCGACTCATACTGCACAGCGTGATAGTCAAACTACCAGTGATTTAGCAGAGCTTTCTCATAACTTTCAGATTCTTATTTTTATATCTGTATTAAATATACTTTATAAATGTATTATTTTTATTTCAAGTACATTAACCCATGTTGTAACTAGAAGGGGAAAGAAACATTATAGAATTGGTATCACGATAGTTAATTATTTGAATTATAGCATAAATATCTTTATCACTTAATTATTATCATTAGCAGCTTGAAGTAGAATTTCTTGTTTCATTGAAATTTCTTGTTTCATTGAATATTAGATAAGTAAAACAAGAATTTGATAAAGTATAAGTAAATAAATAATAATAATAATTGAAACTTCAATTAGTTAGCACGAGATAGCGTGTCTTAAAACAATTTGTATCACTCCCAAGTACCATATATATTACTACTCATTACCCATATTCTTCAATCCAAGACTTGTAACCAAGAACAACATCTCACAACTATTGAACATCCTCTACAGCAACAAACCTGATCATATGAAATGACAAATCCCTGGTCCAAAACTCGTTCAAACTGAACAACTCAACAGAAAGCTCATCCCCCTCCTCAAACTTATACCCCACCTCCATGAGTGTATTGAAGGTGTTGTCCCTGTATACTGGGACCCACTCCCAATCAGAACTGAGATCCTGTAGTGTTCTGAGATCAATGTACCCATCATTATCTTCTCTTGTGGCACTGTGTTTCACTGATACCATGTATAAGTTCCTGATGTTGTGACATGGCCCTTTTATTTTGTAATACAGATTGTACCGCCCCGTCGGTAGTATAATGTTTTGCACTCTGAATCGTAACCAAGATATTGCGTTTACCTTCAAATATGTAAGGTATTTATTGTTCGTTCCATCGTCTTCGTATGTTATGTATTTGAATGAGGACAACGTATCGTCCAGCCATCGTACCCAACTATTTTCAAGATAGATAGAAAATGAAATACTTGTCGATGCAGAATCGCTGGGAATTCTCAGATCATGGGAGAAACCATAAGGATGCATCGAATCTGGTATAAGTTCAGTCCATTAAGCGACGCTTTTTCAACTTTAAAGTCTCTGAAGCTGTCAACATACTTCTCAAAGTTTGTGAATAATTCTTGATAAAAGTCTCTGAATTCTATAATAAGCTTGCTGCATGTCAACTTATCTCTGATTGGAATCAGGTAGAATATTATCTCCCATATCTCCTGAGGTAAAAGTGGCTTTATTTCTCGTATAACGATCTTATCAGTCTCATTTGATTCTGATATCTCTTGCTGTTTAGTTGTCATATTTATCAACTGAAACGTTAAGTATTGATTTGAAAAACAGTTTATCAAAAAATTTCCTCACAGTTTTCAAGAATAACTCTTAATCAAATAATAAAGGGCAAATAATTACGAATTTCAGAAAATTGCATAAAAATTGCTGACAAAGCGACACTATGAAATTAGCAGAGTTAATCGTAAATTACAAAACAAAGCAAATAGCTCACACAGCACACTTTAAACAGACAAAGTCGATATACATTACATCACCAGTGTAGTTCAGGAAGGAGATGTAGTTAAATTTTACCGTGCCTGTGACCTGGTCAACATCGCAAAATTAGATAAGAAATATGAATTTTAGAATTCAAAATTTAGACTCTCAAGTTGGGTTAAAAAAGTTTAAATATTATTGTATAATACGAGCCCCTGCTATTTATGATAAGTTAGCATGCAACTTGAATTAGAATCAAATTAGCAAACTGAAGAGCGAACTATGTATCACAAGACTAAAGAACGAACTGTGCATCTTTTTAAGATAAAATAGAACCTGTGGAGGAACGAGTTGAGTAGATTTATCAATCAAGAACTGATTGATTACAAACTTCTGCGAAACGAACTGATTCAATCTGATTTCCCGCAGCGTTCTCCGGCTTGATATAGTCAGACCGTTACCATGAAAACAAACGTCATTGCATGTTGTTTGTCCCTTGAGCGATGCAGGCAAGCCGCTGCATTGTCAAGTACATTAAGGACTCAATAGTCCACTGGACGGCTCTCGTAGCTTGACTTAATGCTTGTTAATGGTTCTAGACAGGTCACGATCAAACCATCTGTGTCAGTGTGTCCTGTTCCATAGTTAACACTTACCGCGCTCAAGGAATTTTTAAAAGCTCTGGTAACCAAATAACTATGTACAGCAAGTAATCTCATGATCCCAATAACAAAGCCTCTGTGATATTCATCTTCAATACAAATTTTTACAAGTGATGAAATTGCTCGAAATTTTTACAAGTATCGAAAATCCGTGAAATTTTTACAAGTGTCGAAAATCCGTGAAATTTTTACAAGTGTCGGAAAATGTGTGCAATAGCAAAATGTGTGCTACAGAGGGTAAATATCTCTTACTATTACAGTATCCAGTGAAGAGTAAATTAAATAAAGCGTATTTATTATATCGGGTCTCAATAAGAGGTCTCGACTTGCAACAGGGACAAATATGTCTTCAATAACTACCAATTTTGGGGATATTCTTGTTATCAATAAAGCGGATATGTGTTCAGAGACGAGCACAATAGATACCACAGA